TGAAATAACACTACGGATGAAAAAAATAGTATTTTGAATGCATGAGCGCTTTTTTAGAAGTGGACCCCTTCTGTGTTTTTCGCTATGCCTTTAAGGAAAGATTGCAGCCTAGCTGAGCATAGTCTACTGTTGTGCTAATTTAGAATTACTAAAACAGCAAATCTCCTCTGAGCAAAACTACAGTCTAATTTGGGATTACTTCAAATATGAGGCAATTTCTGACCCACAGTATCCATTAAAAGTGATGGTAAAAGGGAATGAAGCGATGCTAAAAGTAAAGCTAAAAGGGAACATAACAACCGCTATGTGGTCTACAAATGCAACAAGGCTTGTCTGAGTTTTCAATGACTAGATAGCTAATGCTTCATGAAGATCTATATCTGAACAGCATAAGTGTGAACATGTATTGGTCCATATGTGCATAGATGCAAGGATGTCAGTTATGTTCATTATGCATTATGTTCTTTTCAGTATATAAAGATGTAGTATACAGTGTAAGAATTGCATTTTGGAATTGCCATAAATCTCACTAACAGTGCATGGCTAGTTTATATAGAATAGACCTGTGCCGATATTCTGTAATTTGGTATGCCACAATATTAAACATGCACGATAAGACCTTCACAAATTCCCCCTGTCACATGATACATTCATGTAAACAATCACAACAAACACAGCCACACAGCAAAGGGAAGAGAAAACAGAGAACTTTTCCTCTCTCAGAAAGGTGAAAAAACAAATCCCACCTGGCTTGGAGAAGGAAGAAAATGCTTAGTCTCACAAATACATGTATGTATGCAGTCACAATCTATGGGTGTATGAAGTAAAAGGCATGGAAGAATACTAAACTTTACTAATAAACTCTTTTTGTTTAACAAGCAACTCAGTAGGCTGCTAATGGGCTAACAGGTTAATCCATTAATATTCAGAGTTAGGTTTTATACAGAAATAGTTATTGATGGATTCAATGTAAAGCTGCAACATACAAAGTAAGTCACCTAAAGTCAAATGTCTGTGTTAGTCTAGAGCCTTGTAATAGGGCTTGGGTGTGTGATGTTATGACATAGTGTCTTCCGCTTGATCTGTTATTTTGGCAGGGTCAGCCAATGTAGGCTAGTTCTAAATAGTATGATGAATCTTCCTTTCTTTGATTTTGGCTCATGTGTGGCCCATGGTCAAGTCACATGTAAGCTAATATGGATTTTTTGGGGTTAAATAGTACAGTACAGTAATAATGCCACTGCTTTGCTAACTAGCCAAGAAATCAGCTCGCTAAAAAGCTACCTACAGTGAAATCTGCCAATAACTGAATGAAATATGCCAGAAAGTGAGTTAAATGAAAGATAGTATGAATCACTTATGGAGAATGTGTTGTATATGCTTCTATATAAAACCTTTTATGACCATAATACCGTCAATAGAAGAACCTTTGTTGGTGCTATGTAGAACCATTTTCAAAAAGGTTCAATATAGAATTGTCTAGAGCACATTCTCCATCAATCTGAAAAACCCTTTCACAATACAAAGAACCCTTTAATCATGCAAAGGTTTCTTTGAGTGTTCGTGGTGCTATATAGAACCATTTTCTTTACTAAGGAACCCTTGAAGAACTTTCGTAAGCGTGCAAACAAAACTAAACTCTTCCTCTTCAGAAAGTAAAAAACACACAGAAAACACAAAAACAATGAGTTTCAAAACTAAAATAAGCATGGTTCCTAGTGAAGACTCTGAAAGTTCATACATCAATTTATTTTCCCCCAAAGCAGACTTTGCCACTTGTGCATTCTCATAAATGGCCCAAGGCCAGATGCTATTTGATTGTGGATATCTATGGAGAAAAGACTTACTATGTGAATCAGCTTTGAAATGTCTTTTGGGGCTACTGAATACTGATGCAGGTAAACTTTAAATGTCAGTTTCAGTCATCTAGAGCATAGTAGCTAAGTAAACTTTATTGTACTTTTTTTTACCTCTGCACACGGAGTCCCATCTGGTGGCTCTTCAGTGGAAAATACAAGCAGTTTTCTTTCCATCTGATTGTATCATTCTGTCTTCTCACTGTTATGACAGGAAGATGATAATTGGAAAGTGGGGCATGTCTGATTGCAGTCAGAGGGCCTGTTATTGAAGTAGGGACTAAATCAAAGACTTCATAGGCCATCAAAGTGAATGTGAAATGATATGATACTCATTGCCTTAACAGTATTGTGATCCAGTGTCATTTCCTTTAAGTTCTAACAGCTGCGTCTTCATTAGAAATGATTCTGGTTCAACACAAATGAAGTTTTTGATGTGATGTTGATGGGAAGAGAATGTGCAGTATCTGTGTCAGAGCTTGCATCTGAGCCATTACTTCTAATAGGCTGTTCTCTGTGTTGTTCTCTGTTGGTTCCACAGAAGATCACTTACAAAATGGCTGTTCATTCTGTTGCTGTTCATTCTGTAGCCCACTGTTGAGTTAATTAGAAAGTCCAGAATGTTCTCACCCATCACACTGAGGACATTCAGAAACAGAGGGCTAATTGTGCGCTGAATGTTTTAGCTGGATCTGTAGAACAGCGTTTGACTCCTCAAACTAAACCGGATTACTAACAGCTCTACACCTGCCTGACTCTGTGACTCCCTTGAATCCTCAAGGAACAAGTATTGCTCTAAGCTCAAATTAAGGTATCATTGTCAGATGAGCACTTTGCACACTCTGTTGTTCACAATATTTTGCTGTCAACTGCTGTCAGCAAATGTCAACTGTAAATTTTTTATGATGAATGGACCGATAGCAATGGTCCAGAAATACTTTCAGTAAAATCTTGTCCTGCGTTATTTGTATAGCCCTGTGTAGTTTATCTACAGATGTTCAAATTGTTCTCAGCAGCATGAGGGTTAAGGCTAAGTTATTAGACAAGGTGAGGTTTGGGATTAGGTTTTGAATTGAGGTTAAGGTGAATTTAATTGATATTTTGTTGAATATAAGTTCAGTTCAAGGTAAGCATCTACAAAGTATCTGCAGTAAAGTATTACTTAAATGTTGTTACTTTAACTTACATTAAAAGTTAAGAATGTTTTTTTCTTTCTCCTAAAAAGTTACCATTTTGGACATATAAGGTTTTGTTTCAACAGCAACAATATATGGGAGTTTTCAGGATCAATACTTGCAAGTTACAGGTGTTATACATCATTATATCTATCTCTTTCCATCTCAGATTTTGAAAGAGATGTTTAAGGCTGTTTTCACACCTAGTTTGTTTGCTGAAGTCCGAACCAGTGTTTGGGTTTTTGAGACATTGTGTCTTTTTCATTTGGTTCGGTTGGTTTAACACTGCAACAGCTAAAGTGCACCAAATTACACGTCGGTGTTTGTTTAGTGGTCAGAAGTCTTGCAGGAATGCAGGTGCTCTGCTACTCTCATTTTTGCCAATTGATATCTGCATCTTTATTATTGGTTTGTCAATTTTAATATAACCAATCCGGTTGCTGATGCAATACATTCCATGTGCCAAAATTAAACACTTGGCTTCACTATTATTTTATTGCTTGTCCACTGTTATTAACAGCAGCTTGTGCTGCGAGAACGAAATGAGTGCCTGTGAAGAGGCAGACTATAAAATAAGCAGTGGACAGTACAGCGCTGATGTGCTGCTAGAAGAAACAGAAAAGTATGTGCTAATTCCCTCGTCCCCACAGCAGTAAACTGAATCAGGGTTAGTTTGAAAGTAGACTGAGACCCATGATTTTTGCTGGACCATGAAACAGTTGTGTAGTGTGCAGCTGAGTATGGGTGGAGAATTCATATCTGTCAAACAGACTGAACTAAAGAAAAGGTTTGATAGAGTCGCACCAAACAAGGTAAGTGTAAAAGCGCCTTAAATCTCCTAACAGTTTAATAATTCATTGAGAGGAGTGTGTTTCCTACATGGAAACAAAGTCTAGTTTCCTTAATCATCAGGCAAATCCCAGCAAACAGCTGCTGCTGTATGTGTAGTGTTGGCTGTTTATAGGAAAAGGTAATGCAGATAATTTAGACCCATTGAAAATCAGGGCACCTCTTTAAAAACAGATACTTGTGAGAGCTTTTGTTCTGATAATTACGATACTTTTTCAAATGTGCCCCATCTATTCTGCATGACACATTTCAAATGCTATTAACAGAAAATGAGTTTTTAGACCTGATATATGGCATTTTTCAGTTAGCCTCCCTAACTCCATGCAAATCCAGATAAGTATTTTAATTGATAGTTCAGTCCAAACAATTACCATAGCACAGGGAAATATGGTGTAGTGTGAAATATGGAGACCATAGTGTACCAGCTGGTGGTGTAAGACGTTCTGCTGTTACTAAGACCAACATTTGTGAATTACTGATGTACATCATCTGTTTATCATCTGTATATAAGTGTGCAAGGATTTTAGGTATCCATTAATAATACATTAAGAGGCATGGAAACAAAGTTAAATTTTCTTTATCTTCAGATAAATCCCTGAAAAAAGATATTTTGACTGCAGAATATGCAGTCTAATAACTTTTTTTTTTTTGCATTTTTTTGTAACACAGACTCTATCCAGAAGCCCGTGCTAGGAAAATGGAACATTATTTTGGCACTGGAATGTGGAGCATAACTTCAATTACCATATGGATGAACAGCAATGAAGGAACAATCGCTCTTCCCAGAGAACATAAAGAGCTGAGGAACAGACCGTAGAACAAATGAAAACTGATTTATTTTTTTTTGTATCCTCTTGTGAGACAGATCAAATGACTTGTTCCATAGCGATGCACTGACAGATGTTTTATCAAAGATGAGTCTTAGAATAGAGTTAGTTACCGAAGTGCCATGCATTTTAAACATCTTCTTGATGATTATCACCCACGGATGAGGTGAGAAGTGGATAGAAGCTGAAGTTGTTAATAATAAAATGTATGTGCAAGCTGACAGTGAAAGTGATAGATAAGTGAAATACACCTTACAAGTTCTGACTATGTGTGCTTGTGCTGTTGCTTTCAGATGAAGTCTGCAGGGGTTGGAAATGGAGGACTCTTCACAGAGAGCTACTGCAACATCTGCAATGCCCAGCTCATCTCTGAATCACAACGTGTTGCACACTATGAGGTGAAGCTTCATGGACAAACACACATCAAACACACATGCAAGTCTTACTCGTTTTACCCTATTTTCAACTTATTTATGTTCTTATTAAAGGTTGAATTTATTAGCATTAGTACATTGTACAAACCCAATTCCAAAAAATCTGGGACGGTATGTGAAATGCTAATAAAAACAGAAAGCATTGATTAGTAAATTTTGTTTGATCAGCAAATTCTGTTGATCCAGTTTTAAAGCAGATTTTTTTTGCTTTTACACAGGTCTTCAGCATGGGTATGTGTACACAGGGCCTTTGTGGTCATATTTTGAATTTTATAATGCACCACAGATTTTCAATGAGAGACAGATCCCCAGGCAGGCAAGTCTATCACTCACGCTCTCTGATTGCACAGCCCTGCTGTTGTAACATGCAGAACATTTCTTGGCCTTGTTATGTTGAAATACATATGAACAACCCTGTAAAAGATGTTGTCTAGAAAGCATTGTTTATTTCCATAAACAATGTGAAAGGTTCACTTTTCCAGAGAAGTCAACAGTGTTTCTGGACATTGTTGACACATGACTTCCATTATGGACAATACAGTTTTAACTTGCATACAGCGACAAACTGCTTATTGACAATGGTTTTTCAAAGTATTTCCAAGCCCATGTGGTGATATCCATCACAGTTTTTAATGCAGTGCTGTCTGAGCAGTCGAAGGTCATGGGCATTTAGTTGTCATTTCCGGCCTTGCTAGGGATTTTGCCACATTCCCTGAAACTTTTAATGCGTGTATAATATCTAAAATTCTTGCAATCACTCACTGAGGAATGTTATTTTTTAAAAAAAAAAAAAAGATTGGATTTTTTTAAATAATTGGATTTTTTGCTGATGCATTTTTTGGGCAAGTGGTGAGTTTGACCAATCTTTGCTCATAAAGGACTATACCTTTCCTGGATGTTCCTTTTATACTAAAGCATGATTGTGTCACTTGTTTAAAATGTGTTTTGTACATTTCATTTTTTGTACAATGTCTTAAACTGCCCTGTCCCAATGTTTTTAGAACATGTTGCAGGTATCAATCTCAGAATGAGTGTATAATCAACTTCACTGTATTTTGTATATAAACATTACATGTCTTTGTACTGTTTTCGTTCAAATACAGGTCAACATAGATTTGTAAATCACTGCTTTCCTGCTCATTCCAACATGTCACATCTATTATGGCAAATTACATAAAAGCATAGCTGCAAATGCAGTAAATAGCCATAAGACAAAGTGTTTCAAACCCAGTCTTCATTCAGTGAGATCATAGAATGTAGCTAAAATAAAATCACACAGAAATCACAAATGTTACCCCACATTCTGATGTCGCATCTTTTTACTCCCAGTGCTCATACAAGTCAGTGATGCACATTAACTTAAAAGCTATGCTCATCAATTGATCATCAGTGTAATAATTTGCACCTGGGGTGAACCCCGGTAATACATTACAGAATAGCTGAATGCTCACCTCTTGCATTTTTCACAGCCTGCTTTTAAAGCTGTAATGTAGTCCACCTCTCTCAAGACTCTCAACCTCACAGTAAGTAATTTAATGAGTGACCATTAAAGAATCATCCCTCTGCATTATTTAACTCCCTCACTTAGGCCTCCCTGGACTACAAAGTATGCAATCAGTAGATTAACAGGCAAGCTAATGAGGACAAACCCTTAGTGTAAGAATCAGTGTAGCGAAGGGAGTGTCTCAGAGTAGCCGCTTGGCTCCGCGAGATTTATTTACTAAGCGACTCCAGCAGCCAGTACACTATATTTAGTGATGCAGTCTGTGGCTCTTCTTTCAGTGGCTTGTCATCTCTCATCTAGAGTAAACATTCTCAGATAGCACATTGTTCAAATGAGCATGGCTGATTTACTGCAGTCTGCATGGTTACCAGCTTTATATTTCCTGGCCAAAACTGCTGAAAAAAAAGAGAGCTGTTCGGAATCAGACTTCCTCGAACAGCCCATTCCAGAGCTGCCCAGGCAATGCATACAACCCATTCCTTTCCTAATCTTCATGTCCACGGAGAAGCACTGAGTCGGCCAAATGTGTCTGAACACCTGCTGCCTGAGCTGGAGACCATACTGTTGGGACCAAATCATTTAAGGTCTTCCACCACTCTTCAGCTCCCCAGAGAGCAGGGGAAAGAGACGCTGAGAAAGAGAGAGAAACTGGGGTAAACCAGGGAGAAGAGAAATCCGTGAGGATTGAAAGAATGAAAGATTGTGTTTTGTTTAGTTATCTTTTACTCATTCCCTTCTTGGTTCTGTTGTGCTTTAGAAACTATTGTACATTATGCAGTCATGAAAAAGAAGAAACATGGAATGTTTCAGTTGGACTGATTTGAGATAGCATTTGTATATCTCACAAGCCCAAAGGGTATTAGTGATGTTTAAGTCTCCAAACAATTTAATTATATTTATTTTAAGAAATTAAGAATATTGTACATTATGCAGTCATGTAGGTGAAGGAACACTAAATCTCTCAATTGCACTGAATTGACAGAGAGAAGGAGAGAGAGCGAAAAAGACAGAGAGAACAGAAGAACAGTTGGAGGAGAGTTGTATGATAGAGAGTTTATGATAGTCATCTCCTGCTCCAGAGCACACATTAGATTTGCTCCCCAGGGATACAAAATTCATCCTTGGTCTTACGCAACTATCCTCAAAAACCTCAAACTGAATCTTCCCACTCTTTCTCTCTTTCTCAGTCTCCGTTCATTTTGTGTGATCCGTGGGTTTGAGAAAAGGGCTAAGTAAAAAATTCATTCTTTCATATTCATTAATAATGCTCTGAAGCATCCATATTATTCATATACATGTGAAAAATATCAGTAAAATAATAATGATTTGAGAAGAAGAAAATCAGAAAAAGTATAAACTCTCTCTCCCTCCTGGCTTACATGCTGTTGGGCATCAGCAACCTCTTTTATCCTCACCCAATGCTGTGACTCTTCACTGAGCCTATGTAATCCAGCCAGGCTGCTCTCTTTCCCTCAGAGCCAGGCTCTGACACTCATCTATCAAAGCCACTGCCTGCCTATAGAGCTCACTCTGAATCCAGCTGGGCCCTCTTGCTACGCTCACACACTTACTGGGTCTGGCAGAGCTAAAATTAGTCAAATTGCAAGAAACATTCCGAATGCCAGCACTGGCACCTATGCATACTCATTTGCAACCTTGTGCTGTATAGGGCTTGTGATCGTACCCACTAGCCTCCATCTGTCTTATCGTTTGCTCGATGAATTGTACCCATAGATACACTCACTCATCCTCCCATACATCAGATCCCAATATTGTCTCACCATACACCTATTATAGGTGTATAGAATCCCAGGGCATTGTGTGTGAAATATGCTATGTGGCCAAAAGTAATTATTTAGTTCAGGTGTTTCAGCCATACATATTGCTAATAAGCATGTAAAATTAAGCACATAGCCATGCAGTCTCCATAGACAAACACTGGCAGTAGCTCAGTGACTTTAAACGTGGCAGTGTCATAGGATTCCACGTATGCTACAAATCAGTATGTAAAATATCTGCCCTGCTGGATCTGTAATGGTCAACTGTAAGCGCTATAATTGTAAAATAGAAGCATCTAGAATCAGCCATGAAGCGGTAGATAATGCAAACTCAGAGGGTTTGCTGAGTGCTGAAGCATGTAGCATGCAAAATTTGCCTATCCTCTATTGCATGACTCACTACAGAGTTGCAGACTGCCTTTGGAAGCAACATTAGCACAAGAACTGTGCGTTGAGATTTTCATGAACTGGGTTTGTATGGCTGAGCAGCTGCACACAAACCTTAGATTTTTATGTGCAATGCCAAGCATAGGCTGGGGTGGTGTAAAGAATGTTGCCATGGGACTCTGGAGCAGTGGATACGCTTCACTGTCTGGCAGTCTAATGGATGAATTTGGGTTTGGCGCATGTCAGGAGAATGCTACCTACCAGAATGCATAGTGTCCACTGTAAAATTCAGTGGAGGAGGAATAATGATGTGGGGCTCTTTTTCAGGGTTTGGGCTTGACCCCCTAGTTCCAGTGAAAGGTAAAGGTAATATTAATGCTACAACATACAAAGACGTTTTAAGCAATTATAAGTATCCAACTTTGTGGCAGCAGTTTCCTCTTAAGGTATTACTGTGTCCCTGTGCACAAAGCGAGGTCCAAAAAGACTAGGTTTGACGAGTTTGAGGTGGAACAACTCTAGTGGCGTGCAGAGAGCCCTGACCTTTACCACACTGAACACCTTTGGGATGAATTGGGACATTGATTACGAGCCACGTCTTCTCATCCAACGTTAGGGCTTGACATCACAAATGCTCTTTTGACTTAATGCTGATGGACAAGAGTGCACATACTTTTGACCATCTAATGTTTATAGAGAAGCACACAGAGGCCAAAACAGCTGTTTTTTTGACAATTCCATTTTACACCCACAAGACAGAACTTTGTCTTACATAAAGCAGAATTTAATCATATGCTGGAGAATCACTATTTTTCAAACCCACTTAGCTATGAATGAAAAAGAAATATAGGAAAATGCAAAGAAGCCCACAGCACATCATCCCGTTAAATAACAAACACATGCATTTTTAATGTGCAGTTTTTGCGATAATGCTGTTTCATCTCCCAGTCTAAATGAACACAAGACACATGAGTCCACACTCCTGGATCAGAAAACCACTCTGCTTAATGCAATAGCCTGAGGTCTCTAGAACTTTCAACCAAGTTTTCACATAATTCTCCACCAACAAAGGCTGTGTTAGCTCCAAATGTTCAAAGGCAGTGATACCCAGTACCAATCCTACCCCTCTCTTCCATCCTACGCGGGTTAGTGTTTAAACCTATTAGGTATCAGAGCATGGAAATACCAAGTTGTATAACGAGTTCTCTAGTATTGGAAAGGAAAGGGTTTTGTGAAACATCAGGGAGGATAGTTTCAAGCATTCTGCAATGTTCGTACAACGACCAGAACAACAACTGAATATCTTTGATGAATTCCCAGTTGAAATTGTTTTGAATTATGTAATTAACATCACAAAATAGTGATAAACAGTAGAAATCTATGACAGTCCTACCTGTTGAAATAGTAACCAAACACATATCCCTTCGTAATCATTCCAGTTCTCATTTCTCACCCCCCATCCCATTGGATAAATGCATTATGTTGCTTTATCATATAAATACCTCTTGAACACTAGGTCTTGAACAGGAGTAAAGCAGGAAGCTTCCTAAAAATAATCATTCATTGTGAATTTATAAAAAAAAAGTTGCCCAGACTGCCCAGCCAACAAAACAGTAAATTTGAGTTTGCAGGGTTAGGGGTTGTCATAATACAACCCCAATTCCAAAAAAATTGGGACACTGTGTAAAATGTAAATAAATGTAAATAAAAACAGATTGCAATGATTTGCAAATCTCATAGACCTATTTTTTATTCACAATAGAACAAAGACCACACATCAGATGTTGAAAGTGAGACATTTTACCATTTAATGAAAAACATTGTCATTTAGAACTTGATGGCAGCAACACAGGACCCAACAGTCCTGGGTCTTCTTAGCTGGATTTTTCATTTCATGATGCGTTAAATGTTTTCTGTTAGTTAAAGGTCTGGACTGCAGGCGGTCCAGTTCAGCATCGGGACTCTTCTTCTGCAAAGCCATGCTGTTGTGATGGATGCAGTATTGGTTTAGCATTGTCTTGGTGAAATATGCAAGGCCTTTCCTGAAAGAGGCATTGTCTGGATGGGAGCATATGTTGTTCTAAAACCTCTGTTTACTGTTCAACATCGATAGTGCTTTTCCAGATGTGTAAGCTGTTCACGCCATAGGCGCTAATGCAACCCCATACCATCAGAGATGCAGGCTTTTGAACTGTGCGCTGATAACGAGCTGGATGGTCCCTTTCCTCTTGAGTTCACAGGACACATCGTCCGTGGTTTCCAAATAGAATTTTCAATTTTGATTCATCTGCCACAGAACAGTTTTCTATTTTGCCTCTGTCCATTTTAAATGAGCTTTGGCCCAGAGAAGACGGCGTTTCTGGATTATGTTGACATATGGCTTCTTCTTTGCATGATAGAGCTTTAACTTGCATTTGTGGATTGCATGGTGAACTGTGTTCACAGACAATGATTTCTGGAAGTGTTCCTGAGCCCATGCAATGATTCCCAGTACAGAAACATGCCTGTTTTCCAATCCAATATTGACCGTCGGCTTTGTCCCTTGTGTGCAGGGATTTCTCCAGATTCTCTGAATCTTTTGATGATATTATGTACTGTAGATGGTGGGATATTAAAAGTCTTCACAATTATATGTTGAGGAACGTTTTTCTGAAATTGTTCCACAATTTTTAGACACAGTTTTTCGCAGATTGGTGAACCTCTGCCCATTTTTTCTGTTGAGAGACTCTGCCTCTCTAAAATGCCCTTTTCATACCCAGTCATGTGAGTTAGTTGCAGATTGTTCCTCCAGCTGTTTTTTATTAGTACCACTTACTTTTCAAGCCTTTTGTTGCCCCATCCCAATTTTTTTTGAGATGCGTTGCTGCCATCAAGTTCTAAATGACAATGTTTTTCATGAAACGGTCTCACTTTCAACATCGATATGTGTTCTATGTTCTATTGTAAATAACATATGGATCACAGACAAACAGTATACAAGAAATAATGCTCAGTAGCTCTAGAGAAAGAAGCAATACCTCTCAAAGATCTAATCTAAAGCCCAGGCTTAAATACAAAACTAACAGATCACCAGTAACAGGAAACAGGTGAGAAAAATCTGTATTCTGGTGAAAATGATCGATGATTGGTTGAAAAAATGTTTTGCATGATATGATATGAAGGTAAAAGATGGACTTTTTAGCCAGGTCAGAAGGTCAGAACTTGCTGTAACATTGTTGAGCCATCCAAACTGTCCCACACTTCAGTGCTAACTAAGTAAGGAGAATAGCATATTATGTTGTTGTGAATAACTGTGCATTGCTTGGTATTGGACATGACAAAGGAGGGCCCCATGAATACTATATTTCATTTAGCATATTTCCATTCATACATAATTGTAATCTGTGCAATCAGCACAAAAATTGCGTCAAACATTAAAATGTCACATAATGTGGTGTTGTATAGAAATTCTTCAGTTGCATAATTAGAACACATATCATACCTGAATGCAGTCAGTCTATTGTACATTTGCCTATTGTCAGACTAAAATAGTCTGCAAAGAGCTTTTGTGCTGCTGGCTACAGGACAATAACAGCTTTTCCATTTGAGCCTCACCCCGCAGATCTCAGCAAAACCTAGCAGCAATCTGTTCTCTCACCAGGCTTTGAAGCTGACATTGATAACTCTTATTACCCACAGATATCTGCATTCCAGTTTTTAATATCAAACATATTGCATATTACATTATACATTCAAGTAATCCATCTTAAAGCTTCAGTAGTACAACAGCTTCAAAAACCTGACCTGAATCGCTGTCTTTGGCACTAATGCCTGTGTATCTCAGGTCACAGGGTCCTTTCCCTTTACTACCTGTACTTTTGCTGCCATGGAGTGCTTCACATCTTCTCAGAGCATTCGTCCAATATTACTGTGTTCACCTTTTTGACATTAAAGGGACAGATTTAAGCTGTGAGTGATACAGCAATTCTTTGATAACCACGTTTTTCAATTATATTAGCAGCAGTTAGAAAATGTATTTGCTCCCAGTGAACTCTGGAAATTGCACCTCTCTGCAGAAAAAGCCATGAGAGGCAGGCAGAAATACTGCGGCTCATCTTATGAATGGAGGCAAACTCCCAGGCTCTCAAATTAAAATGTACACAGATATGAAATGAAATAAAGCTGTCACACAGAGCAGTGGTTTAATATCTTTCTCACACACACACACACGCACGCAAGTTTTTCCATTTAGGTCTGGTGTTATGTTTCTAACTTTTCCATCACCGTTATGTTGTCTAATGAAAATTACTGGACTACAGAATGAATCTCTAATAAGCAAAAGAGAGTACTATTACATTAAAATAGAAGTAATTCAGGTAAAGAAAAAGCTTAAATAATGCAATAAGTTGTAGTCCACTAGTGTTTTTAAAGGCTCCTATGCTTTGCTCCCTGGCCCACCTTGACTATTTGAAACTTGATGAACTTGTAAATAGTGAAACACTTGTAAAAAGTGAAACACTTGCATGCATATTTCAAACTTCACGTGGCTGCCAACCCTTTTGGCATCCTCAGATTCCTATGAAATAATCAAAGTGTTTGGGTGGCGTAATGTAAACCTGAGTGCAATGGTTAATAGTCAATGCGGACCAGGTGAAGAGACAACAAAAGAGCTTCATGAAATATGACTGAAAGCAAACTCACACTTAACACTAAGGCCATGAAATAAATAGTCACAGATGCTTTCATCAACGAAACAAACATATACAAAGCCTGAACAATATATGGTTGGTAATTATGTGATATTTAATTCATGAATCTAGATTCCAGGGCTTCATAAGCATAAGGAAACTTACCATGGTTTAGAATCTTTAGTATTAAAACAAGTATATATTGCAAATGCAGTAATTTCCCCTAATTCAGCATTAAATAAAGCATAAGAGATCAAATCAGTTTAGTGAGTATGATGCAAGTAAACATGATTCAATTTAATAACATGATTCTTGATAATTTAATACCTGGTTCAGTCAAAACAGAATGGCACTACACATTGATGATCACACAGAAAGTACCCAAAACTGATTTCCCATCAGTATTTACAGTGTCTTGATTACTCAAGAAATTGAGTTGGCATTGTAGTGGGTGCATTTTTGTATGTGGAATTAAAAAACTGTTGAATTATGAGTAAAATAATATCAAAATGGCTTTAATTCTCACTGTTTTTTTTTCCTTTGTGTCTGATCTACCAGAGCAAGAAACATGCCAACAAAGTACGTCTGTTCTACATGCTCCACCCGGAGGATGGTGGTCCACCGTCTAAAAGACTGAGACCAGACAACCCGGTATGTAAATCCTTACAGTAGGCAGCATTTGAGAAAGAGTTATATGTGAGTAATAGTGCTGGCTGATGTGTGTAGATGGATGTGTGCTTGTTTTGCTCTCAGACCCTCCAGCAGTGAGTGTTTGTTAACCTGTCAGTGAAGAGCCACTGGAGTTAATGGATGTCTTTATTCAGTTGGATCTGATAGTGCAGTTTGGCTGGGCTCCTACACTCTTCCCTCCATGAATATCTGCTTGAGTAAAGTGAAGTAATTGTCGTTTGTTTAGTGTGTGAGTGTGCTTGATAAACAACCAAACTACATTGTATAGATCCATGAAAATGACATTTTCTTTCTCTTTTCCTTTTCATTGTTTTAATTATGCTTTTTGAGATACTACAGGAAAAAAAACATTGAAATATTAAAAAAACATAACAGACAAACAATTATTTTCACAAAAGAGTTACAGAAAATACTGCAGGAGAGCAGAGGAAAAAGCATCTTTTAAACAGTATCTTATTGTATCATTTCTGTTTATCTCTCATCCCTGATTGGCTAAGTGACTATATTTCTATGTGAAGAAAGTTTTTAAACCACGCAAATATCACTTTCTACTAGATCATGCGCTAAACTCAGCGTAATATTGGACTTTACACCCAGTGCAGTCTGAATAAGTTAGAAACAGCTCACTATTTTTCATGCTCATGTTCATTCTTGGAAATAAATGCAGTTAAGAGCATGCTAACTAGAGAGAAATTCTGAGCAGTACAGAAAACTTATTTTTTCAAAACCGTCTGTCACCATGAATTAGTGCTCTAAAATATTTAGGATTAAGGCCCTACTTCTGTCTATTGTTGCTTAATCCACAAATGTTCATATGTGAAATTTTACATTTCTTTTGGTCCATGTGTTCTTTGAGCTTGTCTGAGCACATATCTGAAGAAACATATCTGATTTGGCTAACAAATCAGTTTTTATCACTTAATTTGTCACATTAAATTCAGTCCTTTGGGCACAACATTCCTAAAAGTCCAAATGAAAAAAAAAATCCAAATGTAATTGTTAATAAAGGTATGTCACTTACATGCAATTTAAAAAATCCAAATTATAGCTATACAAAATTGTATCACTTTAGACCATGATCCATTATCATACTAAATTTAGTTGCTGGACATGAATGGGTTAAAATGACCAATTACAGATTATTTTGGGCAAATTTTCTCACATTGTGAAGCTACTTGTAACTAGCTAGAATTTGCTTATAAAGAGTGCTTCATCTCTGGCAACAATGTTTGATTGTAAATCACTTTTTTTGTACAAATGTTACATTTTATTGTCCAGAGTAAAATACAGCCAATCTAGTAATGTTTGTTGGGGAAGGATGTATTTGGTCAGACAGGCTGTCTTGACAGTGACAGCAGAATACCTCACACTTTGTGTGCGCGCAGGTGCTGGCAAACCTGAAGATCACTGAAAAAAATGCTAAATCTGTATCAGTTATTTGAATGGATTGCAAAGATTTTCATTATCAAGTTGTATTGAATATTCTTTGGAGCCCTACTTAGATGGGTGGATTTGGTCTGCTCCCAGGGCAGTAGCCTGCAGTATGTGTGTTTGACTATGTGAATGTATACTCACCAAGTAAGACCATATCTTACTTCTGCAGGCCATAGCCCTGGAGGACACTGCTAAAGCTTGGACTACAGGCTGTGGTAGACCAGCTTATGTATGAACCCTGCACACCCTTTCACTCTTTAGTTAAACCCTTTACCATGCTCCTCTGTCTCCTGAGCCTCATTGAGCTCACTCACTGCAGCGTAGCGTAGAAACATGAAATAAACCCAGACTGGAACAATAAATATCACAGAAAACACAGATAAGAGTTATAATGGTGTTCCAACATATTTTTGCATGCTGTCTGATGCTGCAGTTTTTTGCCAGTGTCATTTTCCCATGACTCGGCTTGCGTAAACAATACAGACACGTAAAGTCACCTGTAAATTGCAGAGAATACTTGTAACTGGCTGTTTTTGAGCTGTATTTCTATATCTTATCTTTTTTAATTGGTAGGAAACAGCCCCCGAAAGCTGTCATGGTAAAAAGCGAGGTTTCTTTTTAGAGCTGTGCATGCTTGCTATCAGGTTGAAACATATAATGAGGACAGTGAAGATGACATACTCTGAAGTCTAGCTAATTTGTCCCTCATTTTCTCTTCCTAAAGCCAGAATGCTAATATTCCCCTCATCACAAAGAAAGATGGCTAGGGCAGCAGACACCAAGCAGTGTGGATCTGTGTGACCTCTGAATTAAACAGTGATTAATACCTGCTGTTCAGAATGCGTGGAGACAAATTGGAAAAGCTAAAAGCACTGGAACAAAGAAGTAGCGTCTAGATATTGGGGGAGTAATCTTGCATTCTTTTTCCTGCTATTGTTTTCCAGCAGTCCTAGCATGAACAACAAAATCTGACTATGTCTTAACTTCATTGCAGATTATCATGCTATTATGAATTCTGCAGATGCTGAAAATCATTTGTGTGTGCAAACAGACCTGCGCTTGCGCATGCATGTCTGCACACCCACCACCCTACACTGTTTTCCACACAGTATCTACAGTGCATTCTATAAGTAGTTGGAAATTGACTGGTTTGCTACTTTAGCACATTTGATTAAATGAAACAGATTTAAAATAGAGCTTACCTTTGGTGTTAATCTTTGGGATGACAAGAGTATTTATATCTATTCTCGATAGACCTGATAGATGTCACACATTTGTTGTATATACTCCTTCTAGGCTTGAGGGTAAAATGTGACAAAGGGCAAAGTGAGATAAAGCGAGTTCATCCTGTAGAAGTAAGGTGTTAAACTGTTAGAGTTCTGGGCTTGTGATGTCACTTCTGAGAGAGAGGCATGCTCCATTTTAAAACCAGATCATGAAAATGGATGATAAGTGAAATGACAACAGTGTGAGTCAAATCGTGTTACAGTTAGAAAGAAGTAAATCTTGATGTAAATGTTACACATATCGAAGTGGGATGTAAAAGTACAGCAGAAAATCTAGAAATAAATTTCAAATTGATTTTATTGTAAGTAATTTTTCCCATCCCACTTTGTCAATAACATATTGGCAAAGCAGGACAGGGTGTTACTGGTAAACTGGAACAGCCACTGGGGAAGCTTATAAGTGAATGCAATTGTTGTGTATTATTTATTCACAACCCCAATTCCAAAAGTTGGGACACTGTATACAAATCAAGTTCTAAATGTTTTTCATGAAATGGTAAAATGCCTCACTTTCAACATCTGATATGTGTTCTGTGTTCTGTTGTGAATAAAATATGGGTCTATGAGATTTGCAAATCATTGCATTCTGTTTTTATTTACATTTATTTACATTTTACACAGCATCCTAACTTTTTTGGAATTGGGTTTGTACATATCAACAGTAATGGTTCAAGTTAGCAATATTACTTATTGGCAATCCCACCGGAAGGAGCTCCAGAGGCTTGTATTTGATTTTTCTGAATGAAATAACCTGCTTGGCTTTTCAAAAACCATTAAGCAAGCTGGACCATTTTGGTCATTACACTATCAGCTTATGTCAAGTTTTTTTTTTACTGTAAAGAAACTGTCTCTCTTTGACAGTAAATGTGTCCCACTTTAACAGAATCACATGAAAGATTTTAGGGTTCGGTCAGTAGAGGTTCTAAGAAGTGTCATCCTGCCTGTTTCTTGAGTTTTACGTTTAAACAGCATTAGTGAGATTTTCTATAGCTTTACTATAAAAATATCATGTCAGACTGTATGAAAGAGGGATCATGGTAAAAAGTGATGAAGAAAGTAATATTTCTGAAAGTGTCCCACTTTAGCAGCATTCACCCAATGTGTTTTATAATCAGTTTTCTTTTAATGTGTTATACATGTCCTCTCTTCATCCTTTTGTGTTGTCTGGGTTCAGATCGTTGCACCATTTTTTTTTCTCCCAAAAAACATGAATGTTGGCTTAACTGACATAGTTCATTCAAAGTTGTTACAAACTAAAACAAAATTCATATCCCAGCATAATAACAGAAGTAGGCTACAGTAACTTGTAGGCTAATTTAACACAGTAAGCACTTTGTTATTTTGAAGCGATTTCTAGGCTGTAAAAGTGTAATTTTACCAAACCATAACAAGCAAAGTTAGCTTAGCAAGTCAGTAAGTTTCTGGCAAGAAACACCAACATTTGTTTATTTTCTCCTGTTTAACAAGCTTCTCTGTGGTGTAACCACATTATGTGCCGTGCTAAAATGGGTTTCTAGAGAAAGGTGCCGCAGACAAGAGAGTCTGCAAGTTAAAAGTAGCCTCTTAGACAATATTTGTGGCACCTTTCTCCTATGCACGCCAAAAACACACTCAGACTGGTAAAGCAGCACTTGCTTGCCTGTTACCACATGCTCCAAACAGTACGAATTGCCGATTGGCAATGGCTAGGAGGCACAAATGGAGGTGGTATGTTGCACACAGTTGCGCAAGCCTAAGTCCATTTCAGGGGCTCATAAGTAACAGTTGGCTTCTCAGTTCTGCACAAGAGAATTAACAAAAGATCTAGAGCTAATCCTAGCATTTACATATGGAGTCTATTGCTTGCCCAAGGAGGGTCAATGGCAATAAAGTAGACCATCTTGAGACTGAAAAATCAGAATAAATCAAAAATTCTGATTCACACAGCCACAGTGATAGGTGTGCTAAAGTCAACTGTTTGCTATTTCTCAATGTATCAATGTGTGAGCTTGATATGATAGCAATGGACATAACAGACCACTGAAGATCTCAACATGACTGATAACGTGAATACTTTTGGTCATGAAAAAAATCTGCTGAACAGGAAACAGTCTCCCAAAAGCATCTTAGTGTGAAGACCATTTTAATTGGTAGAGAGTGTTCAAAGTGATGCTTGATCTACCATATAAGAATTATATTTGTGGTAAGATGCTTTTGGGAAACCCATCCTTGACCATCAGTCAGCTGGTCAGTAGAACTATG